CTAAATATCTAATATCTTGTAAATGGGATTGAGTTGGAGATTAGCTGTCAGTGGTCAATGAAAATATTTTAAAATTTCCATGGCAGCAAGATTTTGGGCAATATTTCTCATTGATCTTTTATGCTTGCCGCCTCAATATCAAAACATTTATCTAAACACTGTTTTCTTGACCTCGAACAACGTCGAACAACAAAAATATAAACATTTTTTACAATGATATTAATATTTTATCCGAAAACAGTCAATAAATTTATGTGCTCTTTATAAAAGCCTAGATGAGACTGGAAATAAAATACCTGTATAAAGGGTGTATTTATTGTTACTGATATTAATATTACATTTCAATTGTAAAATTGTATATTTACTTAATCTGATCAAACTGCTCTTTAAGAAAAGGGAAATTTAATATTTAACATAATGTATGGCAACTGTTGTTGTTGCTATGTTGTTCCCTTTTTTATTTTCTCTATTTTCTTTCTAATTATTTAAAAAAATAATTAGTCTGCTGTTTTCTTTCTCTTTTGTGAGACATTACCCTAAAAACACTTGCGAGATCGAAATAGATAAATAACTAATAAACAATTTATTTTACATATTTTTGATATAGAAACCTAACCTTTGATTCTGATCATTTAATTAAATATATTTGGAATTTCTATAAAAAATCGTCCGTACATTTAAAACAATATGACTTAAAATGGGTGTCTGAGTAACATTTTGCTTATATTTTTATTTACTATATCATATCAGATTATTTACGTCATTCGTTTGCGTTTTTTCTCTCTTTAAAAAATGATGTTGACAATAAGATAAATGTGTAGAGCAATTTGAGTAAAAACTTTTATTTCTTGTCTGGTGTGTAGCAGAAATAGCTACACTAATTGTCAAATGCCGGCAGTCGGCAATGGCGACTGTGGCAGCTTTAGTGGCACGCTATGGAAGTGCCACAGCGGCAACAAAATGGCAGTAAAACTTTACCTTAGGTCATAAATAAGCGGACTGTGTCATACACAATGGCCATATGGGGCAGCGCCAGTGTAGGGTGTGTATGAGTGTGCGTGTGTTTGTCATCTCCATATGTAGTTTGGGTGTGCGTGCGTTGCGTTGTCGTTAGATTCGTAATTTTTGTTGTTGTTGTTTTTTTTTGTTTTTTTTTTTGCTTTTAGATTTGGAGCTTAAATACGCGTTGTGCTTTTTTATACTAATTTGAATTTGGACGCGACGTCTCTCTTTGCCAGAGCAACAATTTATAGCTACATTGCTACATTGTTGTTGTAATTTATTTGTTGTTGCTTTGTTAGTTGTCGGCTTACGTCATGCTTTGTTAGTTGTAGCCTTTTGTTTGGCCCAAAACTTTTTATTTCGCCGCTGATGTTGCTGCCTCCCTGCCTGCCTGCTTGCCTGACTGCCTGCGTCTGACCTTTTTCTATTACATACATACATACATACATACATACATATATGTTTAATTTCAATGTTGTTACTGCTGTCGCTGATGCAGAGATAAGCTGGCTGTAATAAACTTTTAGCATTTGATTTGTTACTCTATTTGGTTGTAATTTGTTACATATACACATACAGTAGACTGGAGCAGAGATAATGCAATGAGGCTGGGCTGAAGCGCCGTTTGTTATCAGTGTGCGTCATTTAAGGGCGTCATATTTGTCACTCTGGTACATAACATTTAAATTTATTGATCATGTTCCCAGATTTTGATTCATGGCCTCTTTTATTTACACTTCAATTACCAGCAGTCGCTGCCGCCCCCTCAAATTTGTTCGACCTTGTGCAAGGCCACAAAGCATTAAATGCTTAATATACCATTATCGATTTGCCCAAAACCAAAGTATAAATAAGACATAAGCACAAACATCGAGGTGAATTATGTACACATGCATATACACACTTGCAAACAAAGCAAAAAAGTGTGGCCTTGTGACAGCAACAACAACAAACGAGTCGATTAGCTGTTCGCTTTTTAATCCCTTTGCTTGTTCGATTTTGTAATTTTGCAGACGCCACAAGCTCTTTAGCTTTATAGCTCTCCAGCTGGTTCAGCTGTCCAGCTGTCCAGCTGTCATTTACATACCACAGCTGCCTTGTCTTGTTATCGCCCATTTGCTATCTCGTTCTATATGGTATATGATACCCTTTACTACAAATGCAAAGAATATACTGAGCATAGAAAACATTTTAAGCTGAAGAATGAGGTACATTTGAATTTATTCAACATATTCCATTTGTCTGCCCATCTGTTCGTATCTTGGCTGATATTTTGGGAGACTGGGCTATAAAAAGCAGCAATGCATTGAATAATTTAGCAAAAAATGAAGTTTTAATAAAAATAATTTTTTGAGTAAAAGCAAAGTAGGACGTTTTGCAAAAAAATGAATGAAGCTGTCTTTTATGGATATTTGCGAAAAAATCAAGTTACAACAATGTAGACACTTCTTGTAAAAATTTATTGGTTGTTATATTAACGCACTTCAATGCTATTGATTTGTAATTAAATAAGTTTCTTGTGTGCTTTTTGAAGGTATATCCATATCTTGGCATTTGGTGTGCAGAAACATTATTACCAAGAACAGCATTTTATCAAATTCGTTTTGAATTTGGTATGCGAGATTTAAAGATATTTAAACTATAAACGTTTATCAATTTTTTCAAGCGATATATTTTTGATTCTATTAAGACATTTGTTTCCAAACTTAACATTTAACTTCTGTGCAACAATTTGGTTCAGTAAGTCCTTTATTTATATTAGAAAATTCCATACATTTGTTTTAATTTATTATTATTATTTTAAAGTACATTGAAGGGCATATAATTTTGAATGCAGCCCAAAGAGTACTTCTTGATATTTTTGAAATATTTTTTAAAATTTATTTATTGTATTTTTGTGGGGGCGTTACTTGCCGGCTAATCTAAGCGCGCTCAGGCAGTGAGCCTATTCTGCATTTACGCTTCTGCGACCGTGGCTGGTGATGTAATTTGCCTGCTGACAGCTTAAACAACCGGTTTGAGCAGCGACCGGCTGCAGAAGCACACACATACCCGTACACCACATGTTTATAAATCTTGTTTTCATTCTGCGACGCAAACAAAACGGCAACAAAGTAACGTTGAAAAATAGAAGCCACCACAAGTTGCAAAGGCAATCACTTTCGCTTTCCATTCAGCTCTTGAAATGATAACATTGGAGTTCTCTTCTCGTACAATTGTGCAGCAGCTCCGTTTCATTGTCAATGTCTGTATTATGAGCGAACAGGCGTAGATGCTCAAGATGAAGCATCAACAAAGCACAACGAGTTGCAGCCTCAAGGCGAATGCAATTGATGCGTTGTCTGGCATTTGTTGCACAGATTTTCCCGCTCCACTCGTCCAAAGGGAGCAACAACGTCTTTTTGCATTTAAGTGGCGGCACGCAAATTGCAAAATTCAAGTCGTTTGAGTCGCCCTTTTGCTTGATTTCCGTGGTGTGGGTGTAGCCTGACAAGGCATTAAATTGAAGCACTTTACTTACTTCACTAGCCCTGCTTCAAATGCATTTACAGTGGAAAGTGCTCGAGAAGGCCAAAAAAGGGACAAAGTTTAAGATATGTTTAAAATTAAACTTTCTATTATACCAGCTGTTATTAAGCATATGTGTAGTTAACACTTTTTATCTAAATCTACTACACCACGAATGTTCACCTCATAAATACATAAAGCTGTACATAAAGCTGATCACTAATCAATACGAACTTAAAAGCGAGTAAGCAAGCACAAGAAATAGCTTAATATATTTTAATTATTTAAACTGATTTAACACTCATATGTACAACTTGATCAGTTTTTTTTTAAATATTTACACAATATATTTTCTTAAGAAATTGTTAAGAGGCGCTCAACGTAGTTAAGCAGTATGCACTGTAGATATTATGAAGCAATTTGTTTGTGGTGCGTTGAGTGCTGTGTGGTTTAATGCACTGTCTAGTAGTTGCATTAAGTATACGCAGCGTATGATGCTGCTATTTGCAATCTAAACAGAAGCGACTCAACCCAGACCCAGACCATGTGCCCCTTTGTGCTACATTGTTATTGTAGCTGCTGCTGTTGTTGTTGTTGTTGTTATTGTTGTTGGAAATGCCTATCAAAACAACAACAGCAACATTGACAGCAATAAAAACTTTACACTTGCTAATGATTAAAGCGATTGCATTGACAATTTCGTTGACAGTTAATTTAAATTTATGTCTATGGCTGCGACCGACGCACAGCAACAATATATATTACATTATAATTGTTGTTGCTGCTGCTGTTGTTGTTATTGTTGTTGTTGTGGCTATTATTGTTGTAGGCCATTGTAAGTGAGGCTGCTGTTGCCGCTGTTGTTATTGTGTACAATTATTGTATTATTTTGGCGCTGCTGTGCAACCGTGCGTATGTGTTATATGTATATGTTTGTGTATGTGTGTTTGTGTGTGTGTGTGCGTCTATTGCCTATTGACACTTGTTTATTTTTGACACCCTTTTGGCATTGTTGCTGGCCTGCAATCGATATATGTATATATATATATATGCGTATGTATGTGTAAATATATTTGGGTGATATAGATGCCAGACATAGTTAAACGGTTTCTGTTTGTTTTGTGCGTTGCCATTGGCCGACAACGCTATTGACACTTGTGATTAGCATTGAATAGGTCGTTTAATGTTTACTGACATTTGTAACAATTTAAATACCGCGCTGTGGTCGCAGCTGTCACCAAGATGGTATGAGAATATCACTTACCGCCTGCAAGGTGTACCCTGACTCTTTTCTGGCATTTGTGGTTGGAGTCTGTGGTGTCGAATTTAATTGGCGCCCCGGCGACTGAGTGTCTATGTTCCCCCTCTCATACAAGTAAGACAGAGCGCTGTAGGCGTTGGTTTGTGGGAAAGGAAATGCTTTATGCTGTTGTGCAACAATCTCAACTAATATCCAAATTCATTAACTTTTTTCTCTCATTTTTTTGCAGATTGTGTCGAGCTAATATGAATAACTGAACAACAGAAAACCCAAAACGAATACCATACAGAGCAACAAATGAAACTTGTATACAAATTGAACAAAAAGTGCAAAAGAAAATTTACGAATCCTGCCAGCAATTAAGTGTGTACCAAGTGTGGTGTTAGCTACCACAACGAGTATCGAGTTATTTACATAATTATCGCAGTGTAGTTTGTAGCTAAAAGTAATTTAAAACGAAAATGGGGTTCGCTAGCCATAAGCCACGCGTCAATAAGACGCTGATATCTCTAAAGGTGGTGATGTTCTTTGTCATCAGCGGTAAGTGTAACAATAATTTAATTGCTAAAATGAAATAAATTAATATTGCTTTTGAAATTACACAAAAAATCACTTTTTTTTATTGAAAGCATATTTATTTGTCTGTTTATATTAATATATAGTATTTGAATGAAAAATAACCTCAACTCTATTTCTTTCTAGGCATCACTGCCCTACATGTGCTGCATGCGACAAAGCCTTTGCTGTTGGGCCTCAATTTCGATGAGTACCGCACCATCAGCATCATTGCGCCCTTCGTCTCCATACTGGGTCCCCTGGTAGCAGGTCCATTGGCCGATCGGCTAGCGGCACGCAATCCAAATAACTTTGGCCGTAATCTGCGTTACCTGATTGCCTTCTGCTTGCTTCTCTCTGCCCTCATCTTCGGTTGTCTCTTCGCCATACCCGAAGTATCGCGAGAGGCTGCCCATCGACCGGCTGTAAGCTTCGCCTGTGATTCCAGCGGCGCAGTGATTTTTCAGGAACGCTGCAGCGACAATGCCACGTGCCATCACTGGGAGGAAAGGGTGGGATCCCTAAACCTGACACGCTGCACATACAGCTGCCAGAATCCCAAACAGTATGAGAATATGTACACCCCTTGGCTTGAATCAGTGCCTTCGCCACCACCCTCCACGGAGCTGAGTTCGGAATTCGATTACGATGAGGATCCCATCAGTGCGACGACGGAGAGTTTGCGCAGCAAGCGCTCTGTTGAGTTAGTGGATGGAGCAGACAGCGCTGGCGCGGAGCTTCTTAGTGCGGAGGTACAACGTGCTACTCGCCAGATTAAATCGGCACCACAGAAGGTGTATGTGGAGCCACCGCATCTGTGCATTACGCAGAAAAACGACAAGGGCGAGGAGATCGTTAAGCATTGTCACGTTTACACATCCGATACACCCAGCATTGTGGTCGAGTCGGTGATGAGGGCAGCAATTAAAGAGGAAAACGATACACAAAGCAATGGCTGGTGTCTTTATCCCTTGGGTGAGTCACACACACACACACACTGGAAGGGATTTAAATAAATCTCAATTTACATTGTGCTCTGTTTTCAGATGGCTTCCAGTGCAATATTCCCCTGCAGCAGGCTAACTATATGAAGGATTTGAAAAGAGGCAGTGAATGCAAGCCAATGATTGAGTGTCAGGTTTTAAGTCCGTATGACCTCAAGGGCAGCATCTTGAAAGACAGCGAGTGCATTAGGGTAAGGTTCTATATATAAATGTTATCTCTAGTATCTATAGTGCCGAAAATTTCAATAGATTTTACTCGTATGCTATCCATAACTTGTGGAGTAGATGATGGCTTAACAAAATATTTTCTTAAGACAAATTAAATGTCTAATTACAAGTTTAAGAATTTTAAATATCGAAACAACTTGTCGAAATTTGCAATTAGATTAAAAGTTTTCGGTATCGGGCCTTTCCAGGGCTTCCATTATCTACGGAAACTTGCACTTCCACCCGTTATCATCGTCTAGATTTATTTTATTTAGTAAGTTGAGATTTCATATACAAGTACATAGTTCGCAATTACTTGAAATTAAAATAAGAGTTGTAGAATACGAAGCGTTACTATGCAGAAATGTTGACTATATTTTTACGTTTTGTTTATACAAGTATGTCATATGCTAACCACTTGTTACTACTTTTTCATCTGCAGACCAACGGCAGCGTGGAAGCAACCTGGGGCGGATATTTGTCCATACGCTTACTGGGTGACATTTTCCCAATGGCGGCCCTAACGCTGCTCAATACCGCCATTGTGATTGCTGTGCGCGAGACTTCGGAGGGACGTGGTGAGGTCTGTCGCCAGTATGTGTGGGGTGCCATCGGCTATGTGCTGCTCTTCTCACCCTTCGATCTACTGTTCATACAAAACGAACCCAATCATGATGCCGCTTTGGTTGCCCTGATACTTGTAATTATTTGCTTCATAATTGGTGCCCTTGTTCTTTTGTTCGCCAATCAAATGCCACTGAGTCCACCGGAATGGTGGTGGCATACCAAGACTGGCATGTTGGTTGTACCGATGTCTGCCATACGTCGCTACAGTCCCGAAATTATTTTGGTTACGCTTGTGTCCATTCTGTTTGGCATTTTTTGGAGCAGCATACACAGCTTCCTGCGCTGGACATTCACGGATGTCTATGCTGCAAGCTTCTCGGGTGTGATACTCGTGCTGGTCCTCTTCTTCAATGTGGACAAGTTCATCGAGTATTGCGGTCATTCGAACATCTTTATTGCCGGCTTTGCCATTTTCATCATACGTTTTACGGCATTAAGTGGCGAGGATACGCAATGGCTTACTGTTGTCATGGAGGCCATTGAGCCGGCGGTGATTGGAGTTGTTTGGATTACCATTATCCTTTACTTGCGTCACGCCATGCCGCGAAAGTTGACGGCCACTGGACAGGCCATTGGAGTGTTGGCCTTCTTTGGACTAGGTGAGATGAAACTGTTCATAAGTACATTAGTTCATTATATTAATGATTGTTGACATCTTTTTGTAGGTAAGGGCTTTGGCGCTTTGATTGGCTTGGCTCATGATGATAGACACCCCACGGTCGAGTCACAATGCATCTACCAATGGCTGGCCATTATTGCCTGCCTTGTGGCGCTCATCTACTTTGTCATCTACAATTTGATTTTGGCGCCACGCTGCACGGCCAAGCCGCAACATGCCGAAGAGCTCATCTCTGGATCAGCCTCGCAAAACTTCAGCAATACAGCAGCTGGCAACGGAGCAGGCGGTATTGGAAACGGCGCCGGCGCCGGCGCTGGAGCCTCACTGAATGGCAATGGCAGCTATTCCCCACTGCGCGTCTATCACAACGAGCGGGGGAAGAAGGGACAATTTAGATACTAAAAAACTTATAAATGCAAGTGGGAGGCAATTTTTTGTTGCATTGCATACATTTTCCTCTTTTATTTTGACTCGAATCAGCCTGTCGACCATCGGCAGGGCCTGCAATCCCACAGAGCTGCCACTGCCTGTTGAGTGGGGGCCATAGATGTACGCTAATTGCTAGTAGTTTGTAATTTGGCACGACCTTTAAAGACGTGGACTCTCGAATTAAAGGCATGAAATATTTATTGAACTCCTGCAAACTGTGACTGGTCCCTGCAATCAATATATGTTTAAGTTTATGCTTAAGTTTTTGTAAAGTTGATCAAAAATTAAAGCTAAATCCGCGAGTTTCATTTGTTCAGCAAGTCAACAAAATTGTAATTCTCGATTCAAGTATTTCTTTGCACATCCCTTAAAAAGTAGCTATAAAGTTGAACAATTCCTTATCTTTACATGCCAATGAGTTGAGGGCTCCCGTCTTTTTAGTGCTTAGTGTAGTGCACTGAGAACAACAAGAAAAAAGGGACGTTTTTTATTAATTGTAGATTTTATTTGATTTGTTATTTAATGCCAATTGCAAGAGTTCATAATTTTAATTTAAATATGTAATTAAGTGAAAATATAATTAAAATGGCAACATTAAACCTGCTGGACATTTAACTGCATGCAATTTTGTATTTAACCCAAAAACAAAAACAACAAAACTACTGCCCAACATGTTAATAACAACAACAAAAACAATGCCCAAAACTACTTCCCATCACCCGTTTTTTTTTTTTTTTTTTCATTTTAAATTAAAGGCATACAATTTTAATGAGATATTTGCGTGATTTTTTAACTGAGCATAATACACAATGCATGATGGGTGTGTAACAAAAGCCGAAATGTAATTATACAACACAATTAATGGTAAATAAATGTTTCGAAATTAAGCGTAATTCGAGCCCAAAAGGTTGTTTCATTATTACAAGATTGTGCTCATAAAATTCAATGGAGCTGAAAACATATTTTCATAACAATAGGGTTTACTGAAATTTTTTAACGTTGGAAATACTTCACTGCTGTAAGCTAAAAACGGTAAAATAATTCTGAAAAACTTACTAAAACTGCGTATAAATAGATTTTTTTTCCAAAAGTAATATTATTTTCTTACCATATGAATTGTTTGTGAATTTGAGTAATTTTGATCAGTACAAATACAATTTAATACTAGAAATGATCTCCTTTAGTTGAACATTTATTGAAATATCATAATTTCTGCACCTTAACCAGCAATCGGTTTGATTTCTTTAATATAAATCGCGTGACCGGATTTTGGGACAATTGCTTGAAGACACATAAAATTTGACTAGATATTTATAGAGAATTTAGACAAAATCCAAGGTCCTTTTGCTACAATACCAGGCAGACATCGCGTACAGTGTCTGATTTTTTCCTTTACGATTGAAAACAAACCCGCTCGTTTCTAAAATACTTATTATCTTAACACTCCGAATCGTTCGAGCGCCCTCTTTCGTCAGCTTCAGACTTCAGCCTTACTGTGAAAAAGCTTGTGAAAGTTTCGTGGCACCGTTGAGATTTAAATTGCAAAAGCACACACAATTCCCGCTTGAGCTTTGACCCTCTAAGCTTTGCTGCTACCATAATTGAAGACTTACATAAAAGTTCAAATACTCGCCCGTCGTTCTGCTTAATTATTTGCAGATTTCTCGCACGATTTGCAATTTATGAGCCCAATGAATTGCATTTACCCAAAGCAAGTTGAGTAAATATTTTGAAAGCACTTGCCGGCGATATGCGGCACTTTAGTTTCATGGGACGACAGATATGCCCCCAAGCATACATGTACATATGTACATATATCTATATTCGAGTCGATATCCATATATGTATGTAGGGTGGGGACCAGCAGACAGATGAGTAAATGAGCCACAGGGCGCGCACACTTGACCCAACGCCCAGTTAATAGCCAAAAACCCGTGGCGTCATTCTCTCAATGGCATCGGTTGAGCAGATTGTGAAGGAGAACGGGGAGGCAGCGGAATATTGCCGAAAGGACAATATGCACTAAAGCGAGCGTTAACTGAAAGTAAATAAAGGCACACACACACACGCACACTCGTACATACATATACATATACATGTACATATGTACATGGATGTGCGTACTTATGTATCTATAGCTATTTACTTTTGTGTACATATTTAGTTGCATAAAAGGAGTAATAAGAGTGGATTTTATGATGCGACACAAAGAGCGGCAAGACGCTGCTGCCGCGTCTTGGCCAAGCTGGCCTTTGAAGCCACAACACCCACACACACGCAGACACACATGCGTGTGCCTCAATGTAGTTGGGTGTGTGTCAAAGTGACAATAAGCCACTTAAGGCAGCGCGCACTTCATTAGTTTTCTTTATTGATATTTTCACAACGACAACACACACACACAGACAGACGACAGCAGCGCATTTATGAGAAATATGTGTGTGCGTGCATGTGCATGTTTGTGCCTGTGAGCATTTGTTATTAAAGGTTTAAGCATCTACTTGTTCAACACTATACAGCATTGGCTCCACTACTTCAATGTTGTGTCTAAGTGTTTGTCTTTGCGTTTGATGATTTAATAAAAATGATGGTTGATTTTTATTGTACGAGGTATGTTTCATATCTGTCTGAATTTGTCGTTATTTAGTTATATGATTGAAAATGTCAATTACCTACAGCCTTTTAAAGGTATTCTTTGATAAATGATCAATTTATTCGTCTTACATTGGTCAACAGCGCTTATTTGTATGAGGATATGATCCGCGCTGTGAGAGTGAGGTCGAAAGGTACACATTTTTATGCTTTTTATTAATTTATGTTTTTCATCCTACATTGGCACTTCAGTAATTAATTCATGAATTCTTATACTAACTAGGCTTTTATTTGATAATCAGCTTCCTTATTTCTTAATAAACATAATAGTCTTATTGCAGTCTTAAAAATGGAAATTCATCGAAAGTGTGAATCGTATATAGATTATCTGATAGCCTTTACAAAACATCGCGAACATCCGGACTTTGTCTTCATAAGAAACACTTATGTATGTACATGCAATTGTTGAGCGGGTCGGAGCTTCCATTAATGTTTAATGTTTAAGGTTTAATGCGTTTAATTATTTAATTGGATTATATGTCGTAAGATAAATGTAATCTTTTATACTTTCCATAGAATTCGCATAGATATAAAAGAAAACTCCGCCTCGACAGGATAAAAGGCATGTCTTATTAATGACGGCCCACACCCTAAATTGAACATCAGACAGACCTCGGATTTGTTGTGTTCTTGGTTCGAGGCTGAGGGAATTAAGCAAACACTGAACAGCTGAGGGCATGCAGTATACGAGTATTACGAGCGAGTATGGCTGCAAGCAATTCATTTAAATGCATTGCATTAAATAGACAGGCAGATGCAGCTACGAACGATGGACCACAAGGCGTATGTGTTATTAAGTGGAGGGCCACATGCCATCATGAACCAAACAGCTGAAGCAGAATAACAACAACAGCCACGCAAAGAAGAAATAGAAGATTGAGAGGAAAAGGAGGATGTGGAGGAAGTAGATGTCTTAGCAATTAGGCAGCAGCGTGAAGCAAAACAAAAGCTGCGCTTGTCAGCTGAAGCAGAAGGCCGGCGGACCAATGGAATTGTAGGAAACGGGCGACGCGGAGGGAGGGGCGGCACCAAAACAAAATTATTGTCACTTGGCAGCCCGTGGCAGTAACACAGAGAGATAGAGAGACATAGTAGGCCAAAGGCTGTGTGGTGTGATGCGTTGTGGTGCGGTGGTGCAATGTGATGATGTGGTGGTGCAGTGGGTTGGCGCTTGTGCCCTATGAAAAATTGCTGTCATTTGCACAGCATAAAAATAGAAGTATGCACACATACACAGAGCAAAGCCGGCGACACACACACACACGGACACACACACGGACACGCACACCACAGACTGCTAACCATAAGTTAACGGAAATCCACACAACCACATGGCCACATGCAGGCGACAGTTCGTAGGGTGCCATGTAATGGAGGTACTGGTGAGGGCGTGAAGGGAGGGGTGCACTGTTAAGGACCATGCGGGTGTCGGCTGCAGTCGCGCAAAGCACTTGTGAAAAATAACTTTGCACATCGTTGGATTTTGTGAGCAATTTTCTTTAGTTTTTGTTTGTTTTTTCGCTTTTTTTTTTATATATATACATATATATAATGTTGCCGCTGTTGATGCTGCCGCCTGCCTGTGTGCCTTTCTTTACTTTTAATTTTGTTTGTAAAGAAAACTCATTTTCATCACAAGTTGAAGTTGGGACTGCGTTTGTCTTTTGTGCGACGCGCAGAAAGTTGCGCTTCATGTAATTATTTTGATCATTTGCATAGGAAATATTTCTGTCAGACAAAGCGGCAAAACCGCCCAACCACAGCCACAACCACAGCCACTACTCCAGCCGCCGCAGTGAACCACAAAGCCATCCAGCCACCCAGTCACCCAGCCACGACATGTAAACGACTTTTGTTTGTGCAACTTACTGCAGTTATTACTCATACGCCACATGTGTCTTTAAGCATGCATGACTTTAAGCAAGCAGGCAACCAGAGAGACAGACAGACTGAAAGACAAACAGACAAACAGACATTGATAGCATTATCGTCATCAGCATCATCACCACAAGCAGCATCATTAGAAGAAGCGGTTAAGGGCAGCAGTTAGTGGCACACAAGAAAAAAAACTCAGAAATAACTCTAGTGGGTAATATGACAAAATAATTGTTGTTATTAAGTGCTGTGGTATTGCTGTTAAACACAAAGTATTATGAAGAGTGGAAATATATCTAATGGCATGTTTCTTTCTCCAGTCTATTTTTGTTTGAAATATATTATATACATATTTATTAATATGATTAAAAAATATTTTGGAGCTAATAATATTATATTTTACAAAACGGTTTAATGCATTTTTCAGGCAATTGCAAGTATTCTTGGATCCGTTTCTTATACTGCGACATATACAAGTATGTACCACAAATCGTCGAAGATCTGACAAGAAAAAAGTAGAAAACTGTTTAAAGAAAACTATTTCAAAACATAAATTGGATAAATTTGATGCTATAAGGCACTTATTGAAGTGCAACCAACGAGAATTCAGCGATAAACATCAATCCATCCATTGTTGGTTTTAATTATGATGTCATTTAATGTGACTCAAAATACTTATAGAATTTTTTTTTTTTCAAGTGCAGCAGCAGCCGCAACATGAAGGGACAACTAAGAATATTATATACTCGTATTTAAGTATCCTTAGAGATTGAGTTCCAAATACAATTTCGATACTTATGATAAGACCATGATATTTCAGTTATGATGATCATCTTCAGATACTTCTTCAGATGGTTTTTTTTGCGCTGTGCAGCAGTAAAGAAAGGCAGTAAGATGTGTCATATCCACCTACCTCTATTTTTATTTCGCTTTACTCTGCTTAGAAATTTATGAGCTTGTCTGCACCTTTTCAGCTGAATTTGTGCGCACGTGTGAAAATTGTTTTGCGACACGCAACACGACCAACAATTGCAGCAGCAGTTACAGCAACAGTAGCAGCAACAGTAGCAGCAACAGCAACAGCGACAGCAACAACAACAGAAAGGTAAAAAATGTGGCCGCTGTGGTATCTGTGTATGTGTCTCCTCTTCGGTCGACATTCTGTGGCATCCGTGTTGATGACGTTGGCGGCACATTTGTTATTGTCGCATATTGTGTCATAATTTCAGCGTGCAAATCTGCACGGATGCACAATTTAATCCTTATGAAATTGTTGCCGTTGCCCCTTGCATAAACATTTCTCTTTTCCAGGCAGAACGACCATGCGCTGATTTGTGATATTTGCCGGGGCACGTGCATTCTGTGT